AAGAGAGCTGGAGGTGTTACATTCTTGTGTTGCGTAAATGAGGAGACAGGGGAGTAGAAACTCCTGCTTAGGTTTCTATTTCTCGCTTAGCTTTCTTTTCTCTGCGCAGCGGCAAAACTTTATCAAAATATGCCAAGGTCAACGGACAGAGGCCTCATCACCACCTGAGGATGTCCACATGATCATATTCACAACTTTTAATTGGAAGAATCATTTGAACTGTGGGGGGTGGGAACATTTCCATCACTTTGTATATGTGATTTACGCACCTAATTTCTCAGATTCAGAATTCTACTGATGCTACCGCTTCATTTTCAGTAAAAGATATCTTTTCTCTAATCTAAAGAGTCTAAGTCTTTCTTTCTTGAATTTTGAATGAAGCACCACCTGACACCCAGAGAGCTAAACTACAAACATGGCGGTTTGCTTAGTTGTTGTTGTTTTTTTAATTGCTTATTTATTTATCTTTTTATCGTCTGTAACCTGCCTATCCTATCAGGGAGACGGACGGCATGTCAATTTAATAAAACTAATAAATACTGGCAGTCTTTGACTTACGACCATAACCGAGGTCAACATTCCTGTTGCTAAGCGAGATGAGTGAATTTCGGCCCATTTTTACACCTTTCCTTGCCACGTCCCTCAAGTGAATCACTGCAGTCGTTGAGTGAGTAACCCGGTTGTTGAGTCTGGCTCCACCCTTGACTTTTGCTTGTCGGGAGATCGCCAAAGGGGATCCCATGAATTCGGGACACTGTGACTGTCATAACGATGAGTCACTTGCCAAATATCTGAACTTTGACCAGGTGACCACGGGGAGGCTGTAATTACCGTCGTTAAGTGTGAAAACCCCCAAGCCCTACTCCTCCCCCGCCCCGCTCACCAGGATACTCTTGTAGAGGGTGCCGTTCTGCAGCGCCATGCTGACCCGGATGATGCAGCAGTCCGAGGGGGAGGCGCCCCCCTTGTTGGGGGCCTGGGGGTAGACGGAGCCGCAGGAGGCCGAACGCCGGTGGCCCTTGATGAAGCCGCACCCCGTGGCGGGAAGAGGGGCCAGGCCATCCCCGGGGGAGGATGGGGGAGACATGTCCAGGGCCGAGACGGAGGGCCACTTGCCCTGCAGGAGACGGGAAGGGAAGTGAGGCAGCGGGGACCGGCACTGGGTTCAGGAGAAGGGCCCCGGGGGGGTCACCAAGGATACTGGCCTGGGGCCCTCCTGCTTAAAAAAGGATTCCCTGATCTCTCCGTGTTGGGGACCTCCTTCCTCCATTTTCATCCTCCTCTTCCTTCCTTGCCCTTCCTTTCTTCGGCTCCTTCTTCCTCTTTCTTCTCCTTCCTCCTTCCTTTCTCCTCCTCCTCCTTTTTTCTATTTCCTCCGTCTCTTCACTTTCCTCTCCTACCCCCTCCTTTTCCCTTCTTCCTCCTTCCTCCTTGGTTCTCCTCCTCTTCTCTTCTTCCTCCTATGCCCTCCTGTTCCCCCTCCTTTACTCTTCCTCATCCTTCCTTCGTCCTCCTCCTCTTCCTCCTCCTCCTCTCTATTTTCTCCTCTACCTCTTCTGTTCCTCCTTTCTCTTCCTTCTTCTTCTTCCTCTTCTTCTCTTCTTCCTCCTCTCTGCTATTTTCTCCTCTACCTCTTCTCTTCCTCCTTCCGCTTCCTTCTTCTTCCTCCTCCCTTTCTCCTCCTCCTCTTTTCCTCCTATTTCCTCCTCCACCTCTTCACTTTCCCCTCCTTTTCCCTTCCTCCTCCTTCTTCCTTGGTTCTCCTCCTCCTCTTCTTCCTCCTATGCCCTCCTGTTCCCCCTCCTTTACCCTTCCTCATCCTTCCTTCGTCCTTCTCCTCCTCTTCTCTTCCTCCTCTCTATTTTCTCCTCTACCTCTTCTCTTCCTCCTTCATCTTCCTTCTTC